AAAAATTGCTTTAACAATCGATTTGACCTTTCTTTTCCATGTCCGAATCGATCGCTCATCGGCCTGCTCTGATCAACTATTGGTTACATTCTAAACTTGAAGATCATCGCAGTCAGCTGAACAATGTGTCATGCACAAAACTGTGTATGAAAAGCACACACACTCACGCACATGAATTACCATTTTAGTGACTTTTAGTGACAAACTGCTGAAACAGGGCTTTGTTCAAACTGCTTGCATGTAGCACACTGTTTTGACCTCAAACACTCCTCGATTGGAGTGGTATCATATAATTTCACTGGTAAGCTGGTGGCACGGTGGTTCAGTCTCTGTCACCGGCGTGCTTTGGACCCTGTGGTTCGAGGTTCAATCCCCGCCATCGTCAGTCAACTTCGGTGGTAGATAGCTTTTCTGTCATCCGGTTCAATACCACGCCTAACCTTAGGGGGGACTTATGTGGTTCGCCACTCCAAGTCCCGAGGCTTAGGTTGTCAGCTTCCATCACTGAACAGCAGGTAGGTCCTCGTGGCCATGGGGTTCAACCCGTCTGCTGCTCACCACACTACGGTGTGTGATAAATAAAAGCTGGCCCCCAAGATCCGAATGAAAAGGCTTTGTTTTTTTAAAGTTTGTCCCACTTTGTTTTCCCTTTTACACTGCACTGATTGAAAGTAACCCTTGTTTGGATGCTTCTCTATTTTGTTACCGATAAACAAGCTCAGTTTTTGGCCTGATGGTAACCTCTCATTTCCTCACGCCAGTGAAATCCAGGAAAACCTGCTTACTGTGTCCTAGACCAAATTAGACAATCTATCCACATGTTAGGTTTGTTATACAAAATTTGTGCACCATCTAATAGAACACTACCAAATCGTACATTTTAGTCTCATTTAAGGCCGTAACTGAATGAAGAATGTGTAACAAAAAAACAACAACACAAAGATCACTTGTATCATCTGTGGTTAATTCAGTTGAACCTATATCACGGAGAGATGCTCGGACAAACCGCCTTGCCACAAAGCTTTCCCGAACTAATCCAACAGTTCTTCATCTGTCTTCGCTTGAAGCATCTACGAGGATAGAGCGGCAAAACTTGTCAAGCGATTACCCGGAAGATTCGTTCCCTTCAAATTCTTCCCGCTCAGGGTGTGATTCCTGCACGGTGTGGTCTATCATTGGTGATTGTGGAAGAATCCTCCACATCGGGGTTTTGAAAAACTCGAGAGAGAGAGAGAGAGAGAGTGAGCAAGGGAGAGTGACCCAACCTCCCCGTAAATCGTATACAGACCTATCGCGTTCATCTCGTATAAGTATTTAGTGGTTGCATCACATTTTTATTATTTCTCCCCTCTTATGAAACCACGGGCTAGTGACACGTTAGAGACAACTCTCTTTATCGTCCGGTAATCTGTATCAGATTAGCGGTTTCAAAGATAACCGCGAAGCCAGAAATCTCTTACGCAAACCTCCAACTCGAGTACTTCTCGCTAGTTAACATGACTCTATTATCGTTCACCCTTGTTTATTTCTTTGCTTGGTGTACAGGATCATGAAATGGTAACGGAATCGAAACTACTCCAAGGTTTCTTCTTGTACGAAATTTTGTAACGGAAAGATCAACTCCGAACTTCACCAGATCTCATGGTTTTACACGGTACTTTTGAAGGGACACGGAGGGATTTGTGTTATACTTATGCCATTTATTGTTCATTCTCCAACTGGGTGGGGGGGGGGGCTCTGACCAGTTGATATTTCACAATTTCAGTTTGGCCTCTTGTTTTTTGAGTTCTTCTTTTTATTACTTTTGATACTCGCATAATAATTTGATTTTAGTGCGAGCAAAGACTGAAACGGCTGGTATTTTCTTTCCTACATCGGTCTAAGTTCCCATCGACTTTAATTCATCTCTGCACATCCTTTTCCACGGTTAAACAACGTTTAATTGAAAACAATGGTTCATCTAGCAGCTTTTTTCGCATCCCGATGGATGTTAATCAAGATCGGAACCTTGGTCATCTTGATATTAGTTACATAGTACCGTAAAAAAATAGCTTCATACCAGTGAAGAAACCAAATTATGCCCATCGGTAAACGTGGCATTGGCTTGAGCATCAATATAAAAGCTATCATTTCTGACTAATACTACTTCGTCATGAACTGCGATAAACATCTTTGAGTTTGTGATCTATCTTGTACGCTTTCATATTCATGTGCTTACGCCGATCGCTATGAGGTAGCAAAAGTCGAAGTAGTTATTTCATAGAACGCTGTTTACTTGATGTAGGGGGCCGGAAACACAATGATATGTGACAATTTGCATTCCCTTTGATGG